GAGCAGGAGGGGAGCAGGTGGAGCTGCAGGTGAGGGAGCAGGAGGGGAGCAGGTGGGGCTGCAGGTGAGGGAGCAGGAGGGAAGCAGGAGGGGCTGCAGGTGGGGCTGCAGGTGAGAGAGCAGGAGGGGAGCAGGTGGAGCTGCAGGAAGGGGAGCAGGAGGGGGAGTAAGAGGGGGTGCAGGTGGGACTGCAGGTCGGGGAGCAGGAGGGGAGCAGGTGGAGCTGCAGGTGAGGGAGCAGGAGGGGAGCAGGTGGAGCTGCAGGTGGGCAGGCGGGGAGCCGGGTCAGGGCTGACTCACTGGCGAACACGGTGACGTTGTCCTGGTAGGCCTGGTTGAGGGTGTAGTTGACAATGCTCTCCTCATCGGGGAACCCCTTGAAGATGTCCACGCTCACCTGGGGGAGGGGCATCGTCGGAACCGGCCCGGGCACCAGCGGGGTTCAAAGGGGCTGGCCCACCCGCCCACCTTGGACATGAACTGGATCCAGCCACAGGCCGCGTTGTCGATGGTGTCCAGCTGCTGCAGGAGGGCCGAGCCGTTGGGCAGCGAGAAGCCGTCCTGGCGCAGGGCGGGCGGCAGCTCCTCCAGGGACAGGTTCAAAAAGTGCAGGTGCTGCTGCAGCCGGCCCTGCGCCAGGAAGCTGCGGATCTCCGCCGAGATGTTGAGCCAGACCTGGGCGTAGTGGGTCACGTTGCCTACAAAGGCAAAGGTCTCGTTGGCCTGCAGAGGGGAGGGCACGGGGCATGGGACTCACGCAAGGCCTCCGCCAGCGAGGGTGCTCCGCTCCCCTCCCCCGCAGCGGCACCAGCACTGCCAGTCCCCACCACCGACGACTCTGACTCCAAGCCTCCCCCTCCCTGCCTTTCCGCAGCTCACCCTGCCTCTCCTCTGCCCCGCTGCCCCCGCTCCAGGGCAGCCTGGGTCTGCTCCCCTACCTCCCCAGCTCCGTCCTCAGACCCCTGCCCGTGCATCCCTCAAGCAGCCCTGACCCTTGGTCCTCATCTCGTCCTGGGCCATCTCCAGCCCTGGTTTCTCCTTGCTCCAGGCGGGGCCTCTCCCCTGGGCTGGCCATGGACCCATGCCCTCAGCCAGCCTCACGCCACCAGCTGCCTGGCCCCCTCTGGCCCACTGGACGCTACCCTGGAAGGT